TGCGTGTGCCCGCAAAGGGCAGGGACGGGGCTGTCGGTTGGTGCCCTCCAAACATCCTGGCCGTAGGATGCAAGCTGAAAGGAGCGCTTAATTTTAGGGAGGGCATAATACTTAGTAACTCCCAGTGGCTAATTCTGGTAGAGGATCATAGGGTCATGCTGGTGCAAAATTTTCTAGCACGGGGAGATCAGTAAAGAGACGCTCAGCAGCTCTTGATCCCTCTTCAAGAGATCTTCCCCTGGTTGAGGTCCTCCTTGCCATGGGGAATGGAGAGAGGCCGGGACCCCGAGGGGGGAACCCGGCAGAGACCTGCCTCGCAGGGTAGGGTGTAAACCTCTGGCCTAGACGTTTCTAGATGGGGAACTGTCCAAAGACGGAGAGCCGGAATCAAAACCACTCAAGAGTTCTCGCGGGCTTGCGAAGCGGAGGTGACTCGGGTCACCCACGAAGGAAGCATTAAAAACCCACCGCCTCGTCAAGGAGGAGGTTGGCTTGCGAGGGAGTGAGTGAGCCGATTTGGCCCTCTGCAAGCGAGAACCTGGCGGGCGAAGCCAGCTCTGGGTCCCGACTTCCCTTTTCCCCCTTGGTTTGGAAGGTGGTTTTTAGTCCAGATTACCTTGTTTCGTTTGGCTGAGGCTTCTCATCGCTTTAATCTAGGGTTGCGTTTTGTAAGCCCCCCGGAGGGGGTGGGTATATTCAATTTAATAAACGCAATAAATAGAAAATAATTCCGACCCGCGTCCCAGACGGCACAAACGGGTGCCTCTTTGCTCAAGGTGGGTCACGGCCCCCTCCCGTCCCCCCCCCGAGTGAGTCACCTCATGGGGGGGTTGGCTCCAAAACAGACCAATTTTCACCCAAGGGGTCATTTTACCTCCCCGTTACAGTCCTGAACCGAGGAGAGGTGCGGATCACCAGAGGATCCTTTTTCCTTCTCCTCCAGGGGAAAGAAAAGAAAAGGGGGGGGCGTGTAGAGGAAAGTAACAAAACTCAAATCCAAACCAGCCCCAGCCTGATGCTTGAGAAGTCGCTGTTTTGTGTGTGGGTGGGTGTTTTAAACTGGGTGCGACGAAACACTTGACACCCATTAAGGTGGATTCCTGCCTTTGTCGTGGAGAGGCATCAACGCCGGAGTTCGTTCTCCCTGTTGCTCCCAAAGAAGACTCGGTGCGCCATGGAGCTGACGCCACCCCGGCCTTACGGAAACCGGCTCGTGTTTGCCGTGGCCGACCTCCAGGCAGTCACGTCCTGCCTTGGCAGAAGCCCTGCGAGGAGGAAGGGGAGCCTCGGCGGCACCCTTTGGGTCTCTGGCCGCCCCGCCTGCGCTGCGGGACTCCCCGTGCCCGAGCGCCGTCAGCATCACTGCAGCGGCTGATTTCCAGCCACTTTCAGTGGCCTTCCGCCGCTGGAGGTGCTCTCCAGGGCACGGTTAACTTCGGAAAATGGAAAGATTTACGCCAGCTGCGTAAAAACTTGCTTCAGTTGGTGGAATGGCTGCGGTTTCTCCCTCCCGCAAGGAAAGCTGAGCACTGCTCTCTTCCCGTTGTGTGACTCAGATTAAAAAATAGGCATATCTGGGTCTGCAAAGGAGGGCAATTTCAGCTTCTGTTTCTCAATTTTCAGTGCAAACTTTTGGCTCGTTCTTTCCTCAGTAGAGAAGGGTTTCCCCCCTTCTTTAAACTGCCCCAGAACATCTTTTTCCCCACGCTACACATTTTTGTGTG